ACGAGCAAGCCACAGCAACCTGGGTAGACGCCGCCACCTGGAGGGGCGTCCCAACCGGGGGGGACGCGATGTCCAGCGTGAACAGGCCAGGCACCGGGTCTTGGGGGAACGTGGTGAGTGGGGCACCAGTGGCAGCCTCGGTACAGACAGCTTACCTCTCGTGACCAGGAAACGCAGTGGTGACACTGAGGTCCTTAAGACAGCCGACACCAACTAGATTCCGAGAGAACGAGGGGATGTGTAGGCCTATAAGACAATCCAAGGGAAGTGTCGGACAGGGGAGAGTAGTGGAACTACGGGCTACTACCGGACCTGAGGAAGGGTCTACAAGGGTAACTGCAGCAGGGACCGCGAGCGGCGTAAGAGTAGTGTGGTCCCGAAAGAAGCACCGAGACGTGTCCGAGTCGAGAGTGAAGGAGAGAGCGGCAGTGGCGGCCGGGGGCGGTGGAACTAGTGTGGAGCCAAGGCTAGATAAAGCAGAGGGTCCTACGCCTGACGCAGCAGGAGAGCCTAAACTAGGCACACTGGAGAGGCCTACACTAGGCAACACGGAGTAATAGGTACCAGTGACACTAGAATCATTAAAATACAGCACATACAAGGCAGAGCTAATCTCATCCATTTCCATATCAAAGATCCTAACACCACGGCGGAGCAGACTGTGCCAGTCGGGGAGGTCCGGCGCAGGGCCGAAGCGAAGACGAAACAAGTCGTCCAGGCGACTGAAACAGCGAGTGAAAGTATGATCGGTCTTACCGCACACGAGGCCGCTGCGAGAACCGGTCTGGAGCTGGTACTTGCAGCGACCGTCACTCGCACCACCACCCGACGCCGAGCTACGCGCACGACCACAACGACCACCACCACCACCTCCACCAGCGCCAGGCCACCCAGGCGGGAGGCGGCCGACCCTCCGCTGCGATGGCTGCTGCTGCTGGTCAAGCTGTGGCGCCTGCTGCTGCTCCCGCTGGGGCTGCTGCTCCGAGGCACCAGACCCAACCCCCTCGTCTGTACTACCGCTAGCGGACGAACCACCCCCACCACCACCTCCACCCCCTCCTCCACTACCCCCGCCGCGCCTTACCATAACGGGACTGCGCTGCTGCAACCGCGGCAGCGGTCTCAGCAGCAGGGGCTGTCTCAGTTACAGTGCAGAACCGTGAGAGAAATGCACTGGGCGGGAGCACAACGCTAAAAGATAGGGACCGGTGGAGTACCACTAGACTGGGAGATAGAGCGCTGACGGGTCTCTATGGCAGACAGGGTGTCGACAAAGTCAGAGAGGGTGAGGTCGATGGGGTGTAGACTAAGCTAGTGATCGCGGGCAGTGGCAAGGCGGCCGGGGAGGCAGGTGGCAAGCAGGTAAAAGGTAGAGCAGATAGGGGGCTGGAACACACGAAGCTGGGCCTCAGTGCAGGCAGCACGCCAGGTAGCGTCGAGCGTGCACAGGTGCGTGGACAGGTCAGCGACAGTGAGGAAAGACGCGAGATCAGGGAAGAGCATGGGAATGATCAATTGGCCGATAGAGGCAAAGAGCAGGGTAGGACACTAGCTACTTAAGATAGGAAACTAGGAGGGTAGGAAAGCCGCCGTGGAATGGCATGAGGAAAGTAGATCTAGGAGGGGGAGAGCATGTCGAGAAAGAAGGGAATCGATTAGGAAGAGAGAGGCGTACAAGGAGGGGATTGTACCCTCTACAGAAAGGTTCAGTAACAACCTACCAAGCCTATATAAATTATAACTTAGATAATTTTAACAGAATAACGCGCGACAACAGCCTCTAGAAACTCCTGCGCAATCCTGACCGACTTAAAGCGGGGGCGCTCTGACAGGGGGAGGGCATGGCTGATTGCGAGCTTGACAACCAGACAGCAAGGGAAAGGGCAGCAGCAGCGGCGGACTCGTGGTCAGCAGACGTGGGGTCAGCGGGGAGAGGAACAGGGGCGTCAGGGCAGAGGAGCGTACCGTCAATGTGGACGGCCAGGGAGTGGCCGTCTTGCCGCTGACCAGTGAGGTGATGGGGGAGATCGACGAGCCAGGAGTCAAACTCAATCGGCTGACCTTCCGCGTCAAAGCGCAGCACCGAGTCTGCCATGAGGGCCGTTGCAGTGCGGTGCCACACGGTGCAGAGCGGTGCAGTGCAGTGGGGCGCGATGCAGTGCGGCGCAGTGAGGTGGAGCGCGGTGCAGTACGGTGGGGAGCGGTGCAGTGCGATACAGAGCGGTGCAATGCGGTGCAGAGTGGTGCTGTGCGGTGCAGTGCGGTACAGTGCGACGCAGTGCGGTAGAGAGGGCAGGTGAAGCGGGCGGGGACTGAGGGGCGGCCGGGCGGCTGTACTGCGGAGCAGCTGGGCGACGGGTCGCGGGTCAGCTAGGCAACAGGGCCGTGGGGCGGCTGGGCGACGGGGCCGCGGTGCAGAGGGGCGACGGGTCGCGGGGCGGCTAGGCGACGGGGCTGCGGAGCAGCTGGGAGATGGGGTCGCAGGCAGGCCCCCAAATTGGTTTTGGGGGTGTCTGATTCATCAGACTTGCTTGTCATCCCTTGGTATGGCCATCAGAGTCTCCCCTTAAAAAAAAGTCTGAAAAATCAGAGTAACAAGAGATTTTTTGTCTGATTATTCAGAGTTACCATTAGTTTTTACGCTGATTTTAAAACTGGTGTTTTGTATGTCTATTTTCTCCTTCCCTTACCTAATCCAGGGGCTTTATCTTCTTGCGTTCTCTTGCTAACTGTGTGCTGGCGACAGCACACAGAATTTCGCGTCACCCTCGACCCAGCCCCGCGCCAGCGCTAATGGGGCGGGCGGAAAGGAATTGGGGGGCAGGCAAAGTAAAATTGCAGGGAGGGAGGGAAATCGCGCCATCCACGTGGCTACTTCGTGAAGGGCCAATGGGCGCCCTCACACACACAACCCCCAGCAAACATCGGTATTTTTTTTCAAGGGCCAATCGGCCCCTCACACTCGCACCCTGCACAAAGTGGGAAGTGATTTTTGTGAAGGGCCAGTCAGCTCCCTCACACAGCCCCCATTACGCACTAGCCTTCAATTTTGGTGAAGGGCCGGTAACCGCCCTCACAAAGCCCCTCGCAAGCATCGCGCTCTGATTTTGGCTAAGGGCCAATCAGCGTCCCTCACAGGTAAATCTCGCTCCTCCGGTATTACACAAATCATAGTCATCCCCCCATACAAGGTTGAGGCATCAGAGTACACTAGTAGAAAAAGTCTGAAAAATCAGCGTTGGTACATAAATCTTCTCTGAAAAATCAGAGTCAAGTACAAGAAAAAGTCTTCCCAATCAGAGTACACCCCCAAAAAAAGTCTGAAAAAGGTCTGAATCTGAGTAAAAAGTCTGCAATTTGGGGGCCTGGTCGCAGGGCAGCTGGGACAACGGGGCCGCGGGGCGGCTGGGCGACTGGGCCGCGGGGCAGCTAGGACGGCGGGGCCGTGGGGCAGCTGGGACGACAGGGCCGCGGGGGCGGCTGGGCGACTGTGCCGCGGGGGTAGCTGGGATGGCGGGGTCGCAGGGGCAGCTGGGACGACGGGGCCACTGGGCGGCTGGACGACGAGGGCCGCGGGGCGGCTGGGCTATGCGGCCACGGGGCGGCTAGGCGACGGGGGGCCTGCGGGGTGGCTGGGACGGGGCCACAGGGTGGCTAGGCGACGGGGCGGCTGGGCGCCAGGCGACGGAGGCCGACAGGGCCACGGGCGGCTAGAAGGAAGGGGGGCAGGGCCGCGGGGGCTGGGCGCTATGCAACGGGGGCGCAATGTTAAAATTATATATTGAGTTATATAATTGTTAGGCTTGGTAGGTTACCGAACCTTACTGTAGAGGGTGCAAACCCCTCCTTGTACCTCTCACTCTTTCTAGTCCACCTCTCTTCTTTCTCGACATTCCCTGCCTACTCCTAGATCTACTTTCCGCACGCCATTCCATGGCGTCCTTCCTTCCTTCCTAGCTAAGCTAGGTTCCTAAGTTTAGTTCCTATCCTAAGCTTCTTTGATATCCTATCCTATCCTATCCAAAAGGCCTTGGAGATGGCGACGGCTGCAGTCCCGACCGCGGCGACAGCGACGGCGACGACGGGCGTGCGGCGGCATATGGCCTGCGGCGACGGCTGTGGCGACGGCGACGGCTTCGGCTTACGGCGGCGGTGAGTGCAGCGGCCCCCGCCCTTCCGGCGGCGTGTCCAACCTCCGCGACAGGGGGACGACTGCCGAGAGTCTGCAGCGACTGTGGATAAGAGGAAGGGACAGAGGGAGAGGGGGACAGCTGGCGTGCGGGCGATGGCGGCGTCACAGGCGTCGCGCAATCGGCTGCGGCCCGACGGCGCCGTCACAGAGCGGCGTCGATACTGCAGCAGGACGTCGACATCGCGACGGCAGAGCGAGCAGCGTCGATGCCGCAGCGGGACGTCGACGCTGCGACGGCAGAACGACGGCCCGACTCCACGGCAGCGCGTCGAGCCGGCCGCGGCACGACGCGGCCAGTGCCATCGCGACGTGGCCACTGCAGCAAAACGCGGCCGCCATGGCCGCGCGAGCGAATGAGGGTGAGGAGTACATGGCGGAAGCGTGAGGAGACGGTCCAGCAGGGAGGATCTCCTGCTCTGAAACCATATCAAAGAAGCTTAGGATAGGAACCAAACTTAGGAACCTAGCTTAGCTAGGAAGGAAGGAAGGACGCCATGGAATGGCGTGCGGAAAGTAGATCTAGGAGTAGGCAGGGAATGTCGAGAAAGAAGAGAGGTGGACTAGAAAGAGAGAGGTACAAGGAGGGGTTTGTACCCTCTACAGTAAGTTTCGGTAACCTACCAAGCCTAACAATTATATAACTCAATATATAATTTTAACACGCAGGGCTAGCGGGGCGGCTAGGCGCTATGACTTAAGGCAGAAGCGCGGGTGGGCGGGTGGGACCTAACCTACTCATGATACCATCTTATATTTGGAACGAAAATGACTAGAATGAGTGAATTCAGTGAATTCCACTGCTTTTAGCTACTCTATAAAAAGTATAGCACATGATTAGAACCGCATAGTTAGCTCATTGCAAACATTAGGGGACGATCAAGGAGATCGCCTCTGATCGAGGAAGCCAATACAGCATAGCGAGCGAGCCACAAGAAAACCTCGCCAACCGAACGTAGCCGAGATGAACTCACGGAAAAAATCCCTCAGACACTGCAAGCCAGGTTGATAGTCCCAGATCCCCTGCCAAGCATTACCAGCAATCACGGGTTACGGGTTTCCGTAGGGAGTGGGGCGGAATCAAGGCAGGGTTACTCTAGGCGCAAAGCAGGATATGGGTCTCTCGTAGCACTCTGGATAAGTATTCAGGATTCGGGTCAAGGACCAAGCAGAATGAGCGTTTCTGGAACATGTGAGCAAGCAGGGATTGGGGCCGAGCAGGATGAGCGTTGTGTGAAGTGGCCTAGTCAAGCCGCGCGAGTTCATGTCAGGGGGTTACCGAGCTCGTACCAGTTTCCCCCATGGTAGGCGAGGGTTTGAGAGCCTGAGGACGAGTAAGCCCAGACGATGTTGTTGCTGCCAGCGTAGTTGATCGGCGACAGACCGGACGAGCCGCTGCGTGTGAACCTGATGGGCGGGAGGGAAGAGGCAGGTGTTTTGCGCACAAGGTCGGACCATTGCGTGGCGCGTGGAAGGGGACGAGAGGGACAGGAGGGCGAGTATTCCCAGCGGACCATGTTTTCGCTGCCGGCGTAGTTGATCGGAGACAGACCGGACGATTCTCTGCGCGTGAACCTGAGGGGTGGGAGGGAAGTTACAGGCGCATTACGCACACAGTCAATCCCTCCCTCCCCTCCACACCTTCAGCTTCTCAGGACACGCTCGCTCCACTGCTCTCTCGCCGTTACCCTTAGATGGGTTGGTTACAGGCAATAGGTCACGACTCTCAACGAGGCTTTGGGTTCCAAGTTCGGGTTCAGGGTTTGGACGTTTCGGGTTTCGACGTTCAGGGTCCCCGCTCAGGGTTTCGACGGTAGGGTTCCGGGTTTTAGAGTGCATGGATTTTCTAGGGGGACGAGCCGAGCCAGCTCACCTGATGACTGTAGCCCTCGATTCCCTCGCTACAACCGTCGCTGTTACCGCAAGCGCGGACGACGGAGCTACAGCCGACGAGCTGTAGCCGCTCATCGCGCACGCCGTACGCTCAGTCTGTCTTCTGAGTTCCCCCAGACAAAAACCCCGAGCCGTTAACTCACCGGATAACAGTGGATCGAGATTTCCTCGCTACAGTCGTCGCCGTCACCGCGAACGCCGATGTCGGCACTACAGCCGACGAGCTGTAGCCGGTCATTGCATACGCCTTAACTGCCGTCGGCGCGGGAAGATTCCCCACGACCGCGTCTGCGGGGTACATTTTCCCCGCGCTCTTGGTCCACGCGATCGAGATCCACCCGTTCTTCGCGCCGCTGCTGGCCTGCGCAATGATCGCCGCGCGGAGCGTGTTCCCGCGCACGACCTTCCAGTGAAACACGAGCCTGTCACGGAAAAACACGTGAACGTATCGTGGGGTGACACCGGGGAATACGCCGCATCGTTGGGAGATGTCTTGCTTTTTTTTCTTTTCCTTCTCCTCGGCGTCACGGTGTTTACAAACGTCGTTGTTTTTGCCCATGAATATTGGGTTACAATGTAAAGCGCGGCTGCTGCGCCTGTTTTATGAAAGTTGACTTTCCACTCAGCACGGCTTGTCGAAACACGGTGTTCTCGAAGCGTGTCAGAACCGAGTCCTTTTTCAATTTACTCGATTGTACCAGAATTCCCAGCACGTACCCCCGGTTTGAGCGTGACTTTCTTCGCGAAGCCAACAACGGGAGACCGGCTGCACGCGAGAGCAGCGGCGCTCGTGCGGTACTGAGTCGGAGTCGTGCCGTTCATCGGCGCGCTTACAGACGCGACACCAGCTGATGCTTGAACCGACGGTAGCAACAGTCCTAGAAGCAGAGCGACCGCCGCGACTACCGCTGTGAGGAGTGCGGTCCGTTGAAGCGCGAAGGCCATGAGAGACTATGGGCAGGGATCTAGACGGGAACGGCAAAATAACGAGGGCAATTACGGTGGTATGCGTCACGGGGCGTTTGTCCAGAGAGCGCAATGCACAAGCACGACAACGTAGAAATTTGGTTTTTCAAATGTCTAGTGCAATGCAGCACAGAGCAAAAGCTGAAAGATATCATGCTCGAACATGGCCGCGGAATTGTGTGTGCTGTGCTCCAGCGAAGCACGCAACGGAATCCGAAATGCCCCAGCAGCATTGTGTGATCGTCACAAACACGCTGCGCGCGGCACGCGCCATGCAAATTTTGCATCGCTGGAATGGTCCACACCAGCGACAACTTTCGCTACAGACACCAGCATTTCGGGCGGAGCCCGCAGGCGATTTCGTAGATGTGGTGTACACATGACGTCCAGTGAAGCGCCCATTCGTCAGAGGCCCCCATGCACTCGTCAGTCCGACTGGCACGGATTTACAGGCAACGGCCCGTCCTGGACTGGCCCAATTTTGGGCGGCTCAACCACTTGCGACACTGCTGGGAGCGAACATGCAGAAGGAACAATTGTACGTTGACTCGGAACCGGGGTGCGATTGTGCGACAGTTACCGGGGTACACGGGAGAAACAACGAATGTCTTCCATCTTCCAAGGGTCCTGCCAAACGGGTAACCATGGTCCTACCTTCAGGCCCAATTTGCCAGCGATTTGAATGCGTCAGGTACTAGAGTAACCAACTAAAAAACAACTTAGACCTCTTTTAGAAATCTAGTGTACCCTTGTTGCCCGAGTCAGTCACCCCATGTTTTTGGGCGGCTGGGACTGAAAGCGTCCCCGACACTTCACGCACCTCGCCACGGGAAGAATGGGATTGTAAGCGTGTTGGAATGTTACCGCTTTGGCATACACGAAATTTGTATTTTTCGAAATACCTGGGGGCCGAATTTGTACTTTCTGAATTTGTAGTTTCCGAAATACCCGGCGGACGAAATATGACACGCTGTCATGGCTGGCAATTTCCACTGTTGCCGCTGTCTTCTCTGGGAACAGTGCGAGCCATGTTCTAGAAACGAGGGTGCAGTTGCCCGTGCTAGAAACAGAAGTGATGCAGGAGGCTTTTGTGAATGAACCGAGACGTGACTGACTCGGGCAACAAGGGTAACTCATGCACCTACCTTGACCAGACCAGGAGAGAGAGATCCCACCAAAGCGAGCGCGGTTGTGCCCAGCTGGCACCAAGGAAGGAAGGGTCAACGGCTGATGTGCGGTACGGTGGTGGACCAACTCTGCGGGCAGGGGACGTGGCATACGTGGTGGTGATGCGATAAGCTTGCGGAAGAACGTGATTGGATAACGAGGCGGCTGTCCATGTCGGTGAGATGTTCCTCGAAGAAAATTGCCACCGACAATCCTGAAGGTCGGATATATGTTGTGCTGGGCGTGTACCAGATTCAAGTACCAGATACATTGGACTAAGCGTACACATTTGCAAATGTGCCTTGAATTGCTAACTCTAGCACTCTGTAAAACCTGCAGAATATTTATCCAGAGGGTTCATCCTTCACCTCTACCAGTGAAGGATAAGCTGCCGAAACCAAAAAAGGAAGAAGCTGCAGGGTTTGCCGCAACAGCAGCCGCCCCTGCTGCACTGCCAGCAGCAGCGAAAGACCGCAACGTACCGAGAATTGCGCCCTCGCCCCTCGCTGCTGCTGCGGCAGCTGCTGCTTCTGATGACATGTCTGGAAGGTTGAACCGGCGAGAGAGCTGCAGTGGGCGTGGGGATCGGGTGGGGGTGGGGTTGGGGGTGGGGTTGGGGGAGGGGTTGTAGAGGGAAAGGGGATAAGTGAATGTTGTTGCTAAAGCAGCTGCTGCTTTTGATGACATGTCTGGAAGGTTGAACTGCCGAGAGAGCTGCAAATCAGAGGGTAAGGGCATCGGTAGAGGGGAAGGAGTCAGTTGAAACAACGGCAGCAATTTAGCAGCCTCACCGAAACCCTACCCTCTCAATCGCTCCACCCTTCTCATCAACTACCACTCTCTCGCTCTCTCTCCCTCTTGCCAGCATCCCCAGTCCTGCTAATGTTAATATCCCCCTAAAGCTTCGCTCCTAGCTCCACACACGCCTCCAAAAACGCCCTCAAGCACTCCAGAAGCCTTCGCCCCTCCCGTCCCCCACACCAGCCCCGCACTTCTGATCCCTCTTCCCCCCCCCCCCCCCCCCTTTCTCCCCTCCACTCTGTCTGCAGCGGCCCCGATCCTGCCAACGTATTTAGCAGCCTCCAGCAGCGCCCCTTGCTCCACACACGCCTCCACAAATGGCCGCAGGCGCTCTAGAAGCCTTCGCCCCTCCCGTCCCTCACATTCCCCCCACCCTTCTCACCTCCTCTCTCTCAGCAGCATCCCCAATCCTGCCAACGTACTCAGCACCCTCCAGCAGCGCCCCTTGCTCCACACACGCCTCCACAAACGCCCACGAGTCCACATTTCCCTCGCTCTGCCCCCCTCGTCCCTCACCTCCTCTCTGTCCGCAGCGTCCCCAATCCGCCCAACGTATTTGGCAGCTTCAAGCAGCGCCCCTTGCTCCACACACGCCTCCACAAACGCCCGCAGGCCCACCAGAGGGCGTCTTTCCTTGGACAGCTTGTCCAGCCCCTCCCAGTCCCTCGACCGGGCTAGGGACTGCAGCCTTAGCCAGTAGTAGCGGCGCTCTGGGACCTGCTTGTATAGGGGATGAAGTGTAGACATGGGAGTTGTTGGAAGGGGTGGGAGAGGAATGTCTGCAGGCCCACCAGGGGCCGCCGCTCCTTGCACAACTTGTCCAGCACCTCCCAGCCCCTGCAGCGAGCTAAAGATTGAAGCATTAGCCAGTAGAAGCGGTGCTCTGGCACCTGCGCGTAAGGGGCACGAGCAGTACAGGAGGTTTGGAAAAACAGGCCACAATCCAACAAAGGGGCCGCCGCTCCTTGGACAGCTTGTCCAGCCCCTCCCAGCCCCTCGACCGGGCTAGGGACTGCAGCCTTAGCCAGTAGTAGCGGCGCTCTGGGACCTGCTTGTAAGGGGCATGACAAGTACAGGGGGATAGTGTGGGAATTCTTGGAGGAATGCCCACAAGCCCACCACAGGCCGTCTCTCCTTGGACAGCTTGTCCAGCCCCTCCAAGTCCTTGGAGTGAGCTAGGGTTGCAGCCTGAGCCAGTTGAAGCAACACTCCGGGACCTGCTTGTAAGGGGCATTGAGTGTAGAGAAGAGGGGTGGTTGGAAGGGCTGGAGAAAGCGGTTGCCGGTCCAAATCCACAAGCTCCTTCAAACCCTCCCATAGTCCCTTCAAACGAATCCTTCACTCCAACCCTCCTAGCCACCAACCTGCGAAGTCGCCAACCTACCAAGCCACCAACCCACCAGGTCATCCCAACACTTTATTCAACAGGATCACTCGTTATAGCCACTTCCATTCAATCTCGACCCCCCCACACTCACTAAAGGACGACCCGCTATACTGCCATGTACAATATCTCACCTTGAAATCACTCGAGTTTCTGCGCATCTCGGTTGTTGCCTGCTGCCAGGCACGCAGCAAGTGTCTCGTTCACTGTCGCCCCTACCATGCTCCCAACAAGACCCCTCCCTAGAACAAGCTTCAGAGTCCACACATATCTCACCTTGAAATCACTCTTCAGCTTCTGAGCATCTCGGTTGTTGCCTGCTGCCAGGCATGCAGCAATCGTCTCGTTCACACTCGCCCCCACCACACTCCTCCCCTCCTCCCCCTCCCCTCCCCCTTGGGAACCCTCCCCTACACCAGTGGCAGTAGCAGTGGGAGGGGGGAGCTGCACCGTTCCTGCTGCTTCCAGCTGTTGCTGAATGCTGGGGGGGTGGGATGGGGGCATGGGAAAGAAGAGGGGGAAGGGGAACCCTCCCCTACACCAGTGGCAGTAGCAGTGGGAGGGGGGAGCTGCACCGTTCCTGCTGCTTCCAGCTGTTGCTGAATGCTGGGGGGGTGGGATGGGGGCATGGGAAAGAAGAGGGGGAAGGGGAAGGGGAAGGGGAAGGGGAAGGGGAAGGGGAAGGGGAAGGGGAAGGGGAAGGGGAAGGGGAAGGGGAAGGGGAAGGGGGAGGGGAAGGGGAAGGGGAAGGGGAAGCGGAAGGAAAGCGCTTGGGAGCCCTCCCCTGCACCAGTGGCAGTAGCAGCGGTTGGGGTGAGTTGCACCGTTCCTGCTGCTTCCAGCTGTTGCTGAATGCTGGAGGGAGGATGGGAGGGATGGGGGAGGGGGGGGAGGAGAGAAGGGGTGGAGGGGAGAAAGAAAGAGGGGAGTGGACAAGCACTGCTTACACACCCAGGCAAGACAATGCGAGACAGCACTGCTTAGATGTTGGGGGACAAGCACTGCTTAGGCAGGACAGTGCGAGACAGCTGGATGCCATTACCACCCAGGAGAACGGTAACCCGAGGGAGAAGAAGAGATGGTGGGGAACAAACTCCCTCCTAGCTTCTCCCTCCTATCTTCTCCTGTGGCATCACCACCATCACCATCACAAGACCCCTCACTCACCGCAGAAGCTTTACGGAATCTTCCACTGCTTTGGCCTGAAAACCATTGTCCCTAGTCCTCGTGAAAAGCTCTGCTGCTGCTTCCAGCTCCCTCACCCTCTCTTGCGGCCACACGCTCCCTGCCTCCTGTGCTGCCTGCTGCACTATCTGCTCTGCCACACACTGCGAGGGCCGAGGGGAACAAGGGGAGAGTGGGACGGGCGGGTAGGTTGAGTGCTCTGCTGCTGCATCCAGCTCCCTCACCCCCTCTTGCCGCCATACGCACCCTGTTTCTTCTGCTGCTTGCTGCGCTATCTGCTCTGCAACGTGAGGAGTGCTCTGCAACGCGCTGCGCTATCTGTGCTATCTGCTCTGCAACGTGAGGAGTCTATTTTTGAGGCGCCTAAAAAATAGACTCCTTGTGCTGCTTGCTGCGCTATCTGCTCTGCAGGTGATTTTTGAGTCGACTCAAAAATCAAAATAGACTCCTTGTGCTGCTTGCTGCGCTATCTGCTCTGCAGGTGATTTTTTAGTCAACTCAAAAATCAAAATAGACTCCTTGTGCTGCTTGCTGCGCTATCTGCTCTGCAGGTGATTTTTGAGTCGACTCAAAA